ATATATGTCCATAATTGAATAGATTTTTATGTTGGGCAATTTTTTTTTGTCGACCAGAATCTTGATTCCACCAGATTCATTTTTATTGGTTATTCAATAATTTTTTTTTGTTCTCTCTAAATTCTTTAATCAAATAAAAATAATGAGAATTATTCTATAGTAATATTTAGAAACTCATCACGATGATGATGGTGATGATTATTATTATAAAATGAATGATGAGTGTATGAACAAACAATAAATACAACACATCCATAATAATAGCTTTCAAAGAATGAAAAGAAATTTTTCTTTTTATTCTGGAAATTCAAAAAAAAAATTCTGTCTATTATATTATATATGTACATGACAGATGAATTATGATTGATTCGAATAAAATTGATGATGATGATGACGTAATCATTATTGTTCCAAAGAAATTACAACAATTTATAAGAAGAAAAATAATTGGCTTCATTCATTCATCGGAAAATCCTCAATTCTCTATTGAAAATTATTGTTTGAATGAAGAATTCTGAAGATTTAGATTCCGAAGATTTATTCATTCAACAACAAAAGTTTTTCTTTTCTCCAGAGATAATTATTGGATTTAGATAATAGAGAAAACTAAAATTAAAAGAATTCTGAACAATTGAACAATTGTTTCCATTTTCTAAAATGAATCTTTATGATGATGATTAGTACAATAATCGATATATCGAAATACAAACACATTTTTGTACATAGAATTTATTTATAATTTATATATTTGAATCAATGAGATTCTTTTTCTCTCTATCATCATTATTGGTCTTGTCTTGTCTTGTTTTTTTTTGCTTTGTTTTATTTTTATTCCATCATTCACAAACAAACAAAAAAAACAAATACACATTGAATGGTAAAACATTGCTATCGTATATATTATTATCAATGTTTCCGTTGTTGTCATTATTGACTTGTCACCGTCAATGTTTAATTCGTTCCATATATAAATGTATGTTGACAAAGATGATTTTTTTTTGCTGGTTATTCTAGAAATAACAACGATGATGATGACAATCTTGTATTTTTTCTCTGTTCTATCTATGTGATTGTTGTTGTTGTTGTTGCTGCTGCTGCTATATTTTATCAAGAAGAAAAAGTTTTCTTTTCTGTATTCGATTTTGTTTTGCATTTTCAATTCTTTAGCTAGGATTTTTTTCCAGAAACAAAAGAGATTGCATGTTGCATTGCACGTTCATTATTGTGGCCAATCTACAGTGGATTTTTCATTGTTTATCTTTAGCTTGAACTTTTTGATTCAGATTCGATGAAAAAAAAATTACGGAGCTAAAATAAAATAAAACCTAAATATGTGAATGACAACAAATTAGTTATTAGTCAAAATAGAAACCAATGAAAATAATAGGAAAAAATAACGAAAAAATAACGAAAAAAAAAAAAGGACAAATATCCGTTGAAAAAGGAAATGGAAAACACCAATGAATGGTAACCACCATCACTACTAAAAATAAAATGAGAAGAGAAAAAAAACAACAGTAAAAAACAACATCAACAACCAAAAAAGCTTTTATTCCAATTCTATACGTGCCTAGAGGAACTCATTGGCCATCATCATCATCGTATAAAAAGGATGCCGAATGTCAATCGGGATCATTAGATGTTTGTCTTGAGATCCAGAATCTCACTTTTTTCTTTCTCTCTCTCTTTATTTTTTTCTCAGCATTTATTCTTTTAGTTTGAAGATTCTTTTATTCTTGATTCACTATCCCAGATGATTGTACAATTTGATTCCTTTTTTTTATTCTACTGGGTCTTTGTTTTCTTCTTGTTTCTATCTATTAATATCTTTTTCAGTTTTTTGGTTCACCGTTTCATTTGGAGTCGGATTCTTAATAATAATTTTGGTTTTTTTCTTTTACGAGAGCCATGAAGTGATGATGATAATGATGATGACAGAATCATAAGAAAATTCACTTTTCCCCTAATTTATTGTTCACACTCAGTCACAAAATCACGTTTCATTTCGATTTTTTTTACCGGTTCACAAACAAACACACACAGACACTCACAATTTTGTTATTGATTGGATTCATTTCATTTCCATATCTATTCATATATCCATGTTTATTATTATTGCTTGTATGTGTTCCTTTTTCCTGTTTCCTTTTCATTTCTTTTTATTGAAAAATTTTTCATTTTTATCCCAGAAAATTTGATTATTTTTCTTCGAGAGATTGACTGATGTATGTGATCATGAATTGTTATTTCTATTAGATTCTTAGCTATTTTTTGTCCTTGGTCTATGATCTGAAGCCAATAATGCGTAATAGTGAATAATAAAACAGAGTTTAATTAGTTTCCTTAATGATTTTTTTTTCATCATCATCATTATTATTATAAGTGTGTTGGCCACAAATCAATTACTTGCATACCGACATCTACACACACACACACATGCATTGGAACCCAATTGGGTTCGTTTTCATTATGAACAAATTCAAATGGTTGACTGGCCTTGATTAGTTTGACTAACTGAATGTGAATTGATTCTAAATAGAATTCTTTCAGGAATTTTATTCTAACTCTTTTGTTCTACTAGAAATTTTTTTTCCTTCATCAAAAAAAAACTAGTGAATCGAACACACACACACACACACACACGAAACGAGTATAAATATACGATTCATTAATGTTTGTTATAGTGGAAACCCTTTTTGGTTCTTTTTTTTCCATTCAATGATCGACCCATAAACGATGGCGACAATGATGATGATGATGATGATGATCATGAGAAACGAAAATGTTCATCGCCTCATTTCATACCATGTATGTTATTTATATTGATGTTTTCGAGTGGGTGTGTGTGTGTATGTGTGTCTTTGTTTACTTCCAACATTTTTAATACGTTTCATCAATTTGATGTTGTTGATTCTGTGTTGTTGGATTTTTTGCTTATATTGTTGTTGTTTTTTTTTGTTGTTTTGTTGTTGAAATTGTGTTTGTTCTTCAATCTTGAACACTTCTCTTTTTTTACTATAGTGAATACTTATGTTAATTATTTTAATTTAACCCAGTGTTGTGTATATTGAAACATTCCATCCAAAGCTAGTGTTTAGCTATTCTCTCTCTCTCTCTTTCTTTCTTTAAAAGAGATCTTTAGATCAATTTTCAATATCAACACACTACTATGTGGATTTTTTTGCAGTCAATTCTTTGTGAATAACATGACAAAGAATTCAACATTCAACATTATATATATCACAAGCGCATTAAATTCTAACAATTATCTGATCCGTTATACGTTCAATTTATTAAGGTCATTAAAATGATGATGCCGCTTTTTTTTGTTGTAATAACAATAATATAATACCACTGTTTAAAGATGCCGAAATAAATTCTTTTTCACTTTTTTTTGCCATTTATGTGTGTGTGTGTGTGTGTTAAGTTATTTTAATACGCCGCACACATAATACAAACATTCATTTATTCAGTTTCTCATCTCATCTCATTTTTCTCTCATAGATCTCTCGTCTTTGCAATGATCGTTTATGCAAATCTTTTCGCTTCTTCTTCTTTTTTTTTGCTCTTTTAATTCTCATGAAATTGCGCCCAGTTTTTTTTTGCTGTCTTTTGATACGATGAGGACGATCGTTTATGGAAAGCACAAATACAGGAATGGATATTTGTTATGCAATAGTATATGTATGTGTGTGTGTGTGTGTGCGGATTCCGATTTTCTATTTTTTTCCTCATTAATGTACATACACACACACACGCATATATAAGCACACTTGAACCAAATCTCAATTGCTTGATCGACTTTTTATTTCTTATTAATTCGAAATTCATTGATTCCATTTTTTTTTCTTTATTTATTCCTATGATTATGATGATGATGAGTATCTATGGTTATTTTGAATGTTTGTTATGTAATATTTAAACGTATGACATGAGATCATGGAGAGAAGAAAAAAAGAAAGTAAGAAAAATTAATGAAAAACCGGGCTAAGTATTTTTTTCTGACAAATGTGAATGACGTGCATATACCCTAAAGATTTTGCTTTTTTTTTTTTTTGCTGTTTCTGATCAAGAACAACATGAACAACAACAAAGACACAGAAGCAACTTTTTTTTCAATCCATTTTAGAACAATGAAAAAAAAATTGTACCAAAATTTCATGTTTTAGTAGTAGTGAAAAAAAAATATTCTTACCCACCCATCCACTCATCCATCCATTCACACTCGTCTAGGCGCTAAATTTCTCGGCAACGAAAAAAAAAATGCCTAGGCAAAAAAAAGTATTATTATTTATGAATTTCATTGGAATATTCTGATAGTGATTCTGAATCTGTCGTTCGTTCATTCACTAACTTTTTTTTTCTATTCTATCACGGGAATAATTGAAAATAGCGGCTTAAATCGCTTCGTTGAACTTTATTTTGTCATGTGCAAGTGTGTTGTGTGTGTGTGTGTGTGTGTGTGTATTCGATATAGATAGATGGATTATTGCAACCTTTTATCTTTCTATCTCATTCACTTTTTGCAAACTGTTTTCATTATTCAAATTTTTTCATTTTTTATTTTTCTTTCAAATCATTGAATTATATATTAATGATTGAATTTTTTTTTCTCGTCCATCATTATAAATTTTTCATTCATTCATTCATTCATTTTGCAAACAAAATGTTTTGACAAGATTTTTTTTCAATTTCAACACTATCATTAAAAATTTTCCATTGGTAGCAATTATTTTAAAAAATGATGCATCCTTTTGATATGATCATCATCATCATGATGATGATGATGATGATAAATGAATCAAATGAAATTTTCCATCCATTCATTCATTTTATTGGCCAAAGTTATCACGTGTGTCAATGTAAATGGTGAATGCGAACTGAGGATGTTTTACACTTAATTGGCTGAATGAATTTTTTTCCCAACATATCTTATTGATCAGATCAAACGATTGACGATTAATTATCATTTTTTTTCAATTTTTTATTCATTACTATAGCATTATTATATCTGTAACATATAAAAAAATTGCATTACGTATATGGCCGTACAACACTTTGGATTTTTTTCATGTAAGTACTGGAGCAGTTTTTTTTTGGATTGATAATTTACATTTAAAAATATTTACTCGTCATATGATGATGAAAATATTATCATTATTATTGAAAAGAATCACTTTTATTAATTTAAAAACAAAATTATGAACGTAATACGATATGTTTTTAACTGTAAATAATATGATAATGATAAGATTATATATATATGTAACCTAAGAATTTGTCATCAAGTGGTTGATGGGCCAATTGGACCTAAAGTAAAATATATATAAACGATCCATTTTTCTTTTCATTATTTTATTCTTTCATCGTCATATATATTTTTTTCAATATTTTTTTTTCTATTTGTTTGTCGGAATTTATCGTTTGTCATCATGTCGGCCTGAATTATTTTTTTTTCACTGTTCCCACCATTTTAAGGATGCTCAAAAAATTCCGATAGTATCTGTTTCATTTATTTCATTGCATTATATATTCGTAGTTCTTAGAATTTTCGGCAATATTTACATACGAAAAAAAAGTATCGTTATCCTGATGATTTATTATTCTGCTTGTTTTTGAAATAACACACACACACACAAACCATCATGACCAATCATTGAATTCACTAATGTAAACCAACAATTTTGGAAACCATTACCAGTGATCACTATCATCATCATCATCATCATCGTTGATTTTTTTCTGTTTTTCGTCCATATGTAAATTCTTTGGTCCCATCAGTGAACGATACAAAAGAATTTTTTTTGGAACCGAATAAAATCTTTGATCCACTAATACTACTACTACTACAGCTCGTTCTATTATTCTGGCCAATTCTTAAATTCCATGTTGCAAAATTGAAATATACAACAATCTCTTTTATTAGGAGATAACACCGAACGGAAGGACAGTCATTTGATATTTTTTAATTTGATTATCATTTTCTTTCCATAAAAGACGGAGATATTTTTGGTGTTCAGGATAAATGGCAATTTGTAGGAAGGCTTTTCTCAAATCGGCCGTACAAAAATACTTAAATAATCGAATTCGTATCAAATGCGGCAAGACATCTAGTCCCATTACTGAACCTTTCCATAACAGGTTATTCAACGAAGATTCGCGTCCGAACGAAGCATTAAAAACAATACGGATTGGAGATGACGAAGATTCAGAACGAAGGACGGCATGATGGGGAATAAAAAACCCATCAGTATCATTGATTTCCACTGCTTGTCCTGATGACACATACTTCATAAATTCATCGCGATAAACATCATAGAAATTTCGAGATTGTAAGCGAGCAACCAATTTGTTCAACAAAGATAACGCTTTTTGAAAATTAGGTGGAGGACGTGAATGAGTCAGAAAGGGAAGCTTCGCTTCAAAACGTCCATTATCAAGACGAGTAACATGCATGTCGAAATTATCTTCATCATCGTCATCATCATCATCGATATTAAAATGTTCAATAGCAGCCACGGGACCATAATGGATATCTCCAAACTTAGATTCCCATTTAAGAGATTTTAGTGGATCAATACGAGTGATACGTGAAAGCATATCTGTCCCGATAATGAGATCACAGTGGTGAAGATTCGTAATCACGTACGCATCAATCGAGACACGAGTTACATTAGATTCAAGAATGACGGAGATCTTCTTATTAGTAATGGTGGCTGAACCACCCGAGAACCCAGAAAGACAAATCGATGGGGCAGACACACAATCATTCATATTAACTAGATCGCTTCGGATTAATGTAAACGGTGAACACGTGTCAAGCCATACCATGCACTTTCGACCACACAAATTGATTACGAACGCTGGACGTTCGATTGTGATCGATGGAGAAGCGACACCGTCATAACGTGCAACCAGCGAATTTTCGGATGAAGAACTGATACCAGCAACAGATGATGATTCGGACGATGAAACATAAGCTAACGAATTGGAAGACGATAAAGAAACCATAGGAGACGGCGATGATGGAATTGAAGATGAAGATGAAGGAATCATGGACAGATCAGAAGAATTTGAAAGAACGGAAATCGCAGCAACGCCCGATGTAGAAGATGAAGTTGATGGGACTGAAGCAGCAGTAGATGCAGAAGTGGATGAAGCAGCAACAGAAGGAGACGATGAAACAGAGGTAGAAGGATGAACAGAGTTGTTGTTATTGCTGGAATTTGAATGATTGTTCAAGCGAACTTGATGGAGCACTGTCGGATGACTCAAACGACAAACTCGACATCTGATAGAAGCCGCTCGAGAACAAGTACTGGCGCGATGACCAGGCGATAAACATTTGAAACACAAACTGTTCGAATTGATAATACGACGCTTCTCATCTACTGATATTGAAGACTGGCAATCTGCTGATTGATGATTAGATCGATTACAAAACACACAACGAGCAACAGACATAGCAGCAACTGGATGCGACGAACGTGATGGTCTGGCTGATTCTCGTCGATCGAAAGAGTCCAAACACAAGGCTGACTTATACAGCTTTTCCAATTCCTTTTCCAGTTGTGATAGCGACTCCACATGACACAATTTTTCCCGAAGGGGGCGGCCACATTTCCACAGAATTTCCTTCACCAATGAGTTGGATCGGGCAAGATAAGCCGCACCAAGGCTAACACACGTGCTAGACAAACGGCGAATTTCCCGGAGCATAATTTCAAGCTTAGCCGATTCGAACGGAGAATTAACAAAAGCCAAAGAACGAATTTGCTTTGTTAAATGTTCATCGATTTTCGATGGACTGTTGTAATAGTCATTAAGAGAAGACCAGATTGACTGAAGTGTTTTTCCTTGACGGACTAGATCCATAGCTCTGTCCAAAGCGCTACCATGCAAAACTTTCAACAATAAGTTCCGCTTCTTCGTATCCAATAAATTCGGATTGCTCAGGACTTCGTCGTCGAAAGATGTTTTGAACGGTATCCAATTGATTACATTACCATCGAAAGTCAAAAGATCCGAAGCGCGAACAGATGTAGGATAAACATTCAAAGATAAATTCGATACCGCCGGTTGATGCTGAATCGTAGACGAGAAATTATTATTCGAAACATGAGAAGTAGAAGGTATCGACACCGGAATAGCAGACAAATTAGGAATTAGATCATCTTCATCAATTGTAATAGCTTGTAGTTGATTCACTATCATCATCATCATCATCATCGTTGATTTTTTTTCTGTTCTTTCGTCCATATGTAAATTCTTTGGTCCCATCAGTGAACGATACAAAAGAATATTTTTTTTTTTTTGGAACCGAATAAATTCTTTGATCCACTAATACTACTACTACTACTACTACAGCTCGTTCTACTATTCTGGCCAATTCTTAAATTCCAGGTTTCAAAATTGAAATATACAACAATCTCTTTTATTAGGATGATATCAAAATTTGGATAATTAATTATTTTGACAATTTTCTATCAACTTTTTTTTTGTCTTGTTCATTATCTAACAAATTCTGACGCGTGTCGTATGGTTGAATTGATTTCCATTTTCCATTATGTTATTAATCAATTCTTCTCTCAGGCACACACACACATATGAGTGTGAAAGAGAAAAATTTTACCAATCAAAATATATGCATCGAAAAAATATGATGTCCCCGAATTAAATATGTAAATTTGACCAAAAGGCAAAGAAAAAGATGAATAATCATTATATTGAACCACATTGCTATATATGAATGTGTGTATGTTTTTGTACTGGTAATCTCCACCTAGTATAAAGTAATCTAATTAACAATTCGTTTTGAAACAAAACAAAAAAAATTTCTCTCCACATTTTTTTATTTTGGTCTGCTAGAAAAAAAAATAATGTTGATAATAATTTAATGATTAAAGTTATATTCATTTTTTTGTTGTCTGTTTAATTTGTCCATGTTGTGTACATTTTTTTCCCCATTCGTTTTTTTATTTGGTCCGGTCTGTATTTATGATATGATGACCAAATATAATCTCATATAATCATTCAATATGGCTATACACACACACACATACACACTGGTATTCGTAACTGTGCTTGGCCATGGCAGTTTTTTTGTTGTCACCATCATCAACAAACAGCAACAACAATAACAAAAAAAAGTGGAAAAGAAATGAACATTGTATGAATGTTTATAACTAACGGTAGTTGTATGGAAAAAAAGAAGAAGATATATTCTTTATACAGAAAAATGAGTGAAAATTATTATTATTATTATTATCATTCTGAACATGATCCAAAATATTGTGTCATTTGTTTTACTTCATTCGTTGTGTGTGTGTGTTTATTTTCAATATAATGACCAATAGATAGTTGCGTGTTTCGATTACTTGATGGTTCTAATATCACTATAAACACACCGACAAACTATCTATATCCAAAATATACCATCATCCATATTTCTATTTTTTTTTTAACCATGACGTTTTAAAATAAGCTCTCGATTAATGAAACAAACACAAAATACACCCACCACCGATATAATACACACACACACCATTTTGATTAATAATGCAAGTAGCCATGTAGTGTGTCTTGTGTATTGAATTGGTTTTTATTTTGTTATCATTGGTGATGAGTGATGTTACGATAGATATATGATAGCTGTATGGTATACGATGATGAATGATATGTTTGGTCAAGCTATTTCTCTTGATCAAATCATTTAATCCATGTTTCATTATAATTTTGTTGACTTGAAAAAAAATCATTTCATGTCATTTTAAATTGAAATTTCAATTGCATTTTGGTTTGGCACTCAATTTTCATGAGGTGAAAAAAAAACATTTTTTAATCATAAAAATCAGAGTCTTTTTCAGTACATTCTTTCTGATTGTCTTTTTTCTTCTTGAATTTTTTTCCCAATCCATATGAATAAAATCGATAGCAACTGAAAGAAAATGTGGAATTTCATCTATTTTGTTTGAATTATAAATGCAAAATTGAATACCATTTTAATTAATAGACAAAATTCTTTGGAACAAAAAAAAATTTCACTAACTGAGCGAATTATCATAACTTTGATAATAATAACCATCAACGATGATGGTGGTTTTTTTCCCCTCGTCATTATAAAGAATTTAAATTAGTCATATATCCATGGAAACGTCGAATTCTCGTTTTTGGTTTTTAATTTTCAAACAAAATGGAACAAATTTTTTTTTTGCTGGTAGAATATGATTAAATTTTTTTTCAATTATAAATTCTTTATGTTTAGAAATCGCGACTAAATGATTAAAATTAAATCGTTGTATTCAGTAAATTTCATCATCATCATCATCATCAAACATAACGACATTTAAACACCAAGACTTCCATTGACACACCCCATTTACTTCTCATGACAAACGATAACATTAGATTTATTATTTACATTTCCAATATAATGCTGTTAATGGTTAGTGTAGTAAGCGAGAAAAAAAAATTCTGAATTCATCGATCATTGACAATATATAATATTATTAATATCAATTATTATTTCATTTTAGGTCATACGATATATCCAAATAATTTTGTTTGTTTCTAACAAAAAACCATTAAGACTATCCATCCATCCATCCATTCACACATCCATCCATTTATTCATCTGATTCGTATGTATGTTTGTTTGGCAAAAAAAAAATGATTCAACCCAAACTATATAAATGTAACCAATTCTTCTGGTTCATTCATTCTATATTCCTGATACTTTTGTTGCTTGAATGTTTTATTTTTGGTATATGATTATGATTAATTTAATTACCAAAAACAACAAGTTTGTTAATTGTTGTTGTTGTTGTTGTTGTTTTGCAGTAATGCTATCTTTCTTTCTCTGTTTCTCTTTGATTATTTTATTTTTTTTTGTTTCTCTCCTTCTCTCTTCTGGTCACACTCCCTCGATTCTGATTCTATATTTGTATTTACAATAAAAATATTTTTAAAACACGAATACACTATAGCAACAAAAAAAAAAAAAAAAGAATGATGAAATTAGTCTTAATGACCCACAAACACCAACAACAACAACAACAACAACAACAGCAACTACAAAACTTTTATTCCAAATAGTAAAAACAACAGAACTAAAAACAAAGAAAAAAAATTATGAAATGAACACAATGGGACCGTTTTTTCATCTGCTTGATTTATTGTTTGATGTCTCTCTCTCTGTATTTGTAAATGGGTAATGTTAAGATTCTTTTTTTTTTGCTTGTATGAAATCTTGTATAGTTGCTACATCATCATTTATATCGTCATCGTTGTCGTCGTCGTCGTCGTCCGTGTTCTGTGTGGACAATGATGACGACGTTGTTGTTGTTGTTGATGATGATGATGATCATGATGATAATGGGTCTGATTTATCTTCAAGGGATACAGAAAATACAAGATTTTTTTTTCATATTTTTTCTGGATTTTTTATTATTCTTGTATGATTCTCATTGATGCTGCTGCTATGACTGTTGTTGTTGTTGTTGTTTATTATTCTATACAAGTTGTTGTTGTTGTTGATGGTACTTTCATTGTAATATTGTCCGGTTAACATATCTTGAGGATGTTTTTTTTATTCACATTTTTTTCCAGCATCACTCACATACACACACACACTCACTTGAGATATAACAAGCAAAAATCAAGAAACTTTTGTGTGCTACACTTATATGGTGGTATGTTTTTCTTGGTGAACCTCTAAACTTTTCATTGTTCAATGAACAAAATGAACGAAAAAAAAGAGGAATGAATTCCGCTACTTTTTTTCAGCATTTTTTTCTATATCCGTTAGAAGAAACAAGAATTTCTTCGATTTTTCTCAAAAACACACAAGTTTTGTTGTAGTGTAAGCGAAGTAAAGTAAATGTTTAATAACCGTATACGAATTTTTTTTTTTTTTTTTGGTTGTCAATGACATTATCAAAAACATACGAAGCCTGTGGCTGGCTATTCCATTTATGAGAGAAAAAAAAAGAAACAATATCCATGTGACACAATATATGTGTGTGTGTGAATCAGTAAGTAAGTGTTTGAGTTTCATCTCTGCATGGTCTCTATACCATTACATCATCATCATCATCATCTTAATAATGATCAAAGCAACGAATGGTAGTATTATAGTCACAAAATGGGATTCTGGTTCCATGTTGGAATCTAGGACCTTGGAAAAGAATTATGAAAAAATAGAGAAAAGAAGAAAAAAAAATGTTGCATGAAATATATAAATAATGAAAAATGTCTTTCACGCTCAATATCATTCTCTTTTTTTTCCTCATCATCATCATCATCATCATCAACATTGTCGTTGTCGTTGTTGGTTGGTAGTTGTTTTTTAACGTTTTACCACCGCCAACATCGTACCATATTGTCATCGCTGAATTTTTGATCTTTTTTTTTCGGTTCCATTTTTTTTTTTTTTTTTTTTGGTCTCTCTCATTGTTCGATTTTTGTTTCCATTGCTCATTACTTTTTGAGGCAAGTTTTTTTCTTTAAGATATTGTCATCCGGATCATTATTCTTCTTCTTCTTCTTATTTTGGGTTTTCACGCATTCTTTTTCTTTTCATTACATTATTGTTTCCATATAGATTTTATATTATCATTTCAATATGTTTATATATATAATATTCATCGATATATCATTGTTCTGGTTCAGTTGCCATTGGTCAAAAGATTTAATTACCTTAAAGGTGTGTTGTCATTTTGAAAAATGATTACAAAAAAAAAAAATTTCAACTACATTCCACATACACAGAATTTAAGATTTTTTTATGGGATATACAAGAAAAAAGAGAATATATGATGATGATGATGATGATGATACTGTTGTGCAAGAATGAATGACACAAGAATCCCATCATCATCATTTGTTTTTTCTTTGGATTCTTCTTCAATCTTTTTTTTTCATTATTAAAATTTAGACATTCCATACACACACACACACACACACACACACACGCACAATAGATGTCCACCCATGTGGATAATGATAAATTTTCTTTTGCTTTTACATTCATCATGCTTGGTTATTCTTTTTTTTTTTTTATTTTGACTCGGTCGTCGGTAGTGATTCATACATTCATTCATCTCACATACTCATACCGAGATCCATATTATATCGTGTATATTTATATCATCATGGATCTAATTCCCATTTCTCAAGTTTAATAGTGTTTATCTCCTCATAATAAAAAAAAACACTAATAATAACGTATAGACATACACACACACAATTGTCTTTTTGTCCTTGGCCATAGAAATACACAGTTCCATAAATTCATTCAGTTTTGGTTTACTTTGTTGTGATATTATTATTGTCGCTGTTATTATTGTTGTCTAATAGTTTTGTTGATATATTCCATAAGCATACACGCACACACACACACACACACATGAACAAACAAATCAGACCAAAATATAACAAAAAAATAAAAAAATTCAAGACAAAATAAAAGTTTTCCCTTTTTCTAAAATCCGTTTCGATTCGTCATTCTGGGTGGATGAATGGATGATGGGAAATATATCCAAGATAGAATTCAGTGCATCGGTGAAAAGTAATTGTTTTTGATGATAAATTTTTTGTTTTTGTTTTTTTTTGGCCAGAATTTAGATCATGATCATTGAAATGTCAGCTTTTTGAAACGGCTTTGAAACAATGGATGATGTGGCATAAAGCCATTTATTTTTGTTTTCTGTCTTATATTATTCGATTTGATCATTTTAAAGATTTTTATATATATGTTTTTATGCTCATCCAACTATATTAAAGTTTGAGTTTATTTTCATTTTTTTTGATTTATTGAAAATTTGAATTGTGGATTTTTTTTTTGTGTTCCATCGTTTTATTTATATATTTGTTTTATTTGCCATTATAAACAGTTGCATCATTCGATGATATGATCAGTGGACATTAATGATGTTTTATATTGTTGATTTCATTTTTTTTTTCTTCAATGGATTTATACAGACTTTATTGGCTACGCTATAAAAACATAAAGATTTCCTTTCTATCTATAAAAAATACTGGAAAATCGTTACCATTAGTTGAACCACAACCAACAAAAAAAACTGTAATTCAATTTTTTATTTTTTTTCTCATGAACGGAAAACTTTATGATGATTATCACGATTTAGTTTACTCTTTAAATTCAATTGCATTATGGTTTATATACAGTGGAATTGAGGATTCAATTTAAAAAAAACAAAATTAAATGACACAATAACAGCCAGAAAAAAATGTTCATTTTTTCTCGTTAAACAATCAATTTCAAACAGTTGAGCCACTCATATTGTGTTTATTTTGCTTTTTAATTATTCGCAATTCTTCAAAACTTCTAATATTTTTTTTCTCTACTTTTCCTTTTCATTTAGAATCAATCATTGATATGGCCAAAAAAAACGAGTCAAAAACGAATGAATTCAAATCAATGGCCAATGCACAAAAATAATCACAAATGAATCGATCAGATAAAATCATAAGCAAACAATAAAACAACGACGACGACAACAACAAAGATTGAACAAGATGTTGTTACTATCGTCAAATCGTGTTCATTCATTAAGATCACATCAACAACAACAATTTCGACAATGTATGATGCCCAATACGATTGTATTATTACAAAGATGGACTAGATTGTTGGATTGTGTTAATCGTTTGAAAATCTATTACAATGAAATGATGTCTTATAAAAGTAGTTTGACAATACGACCATGTGATTTTTATTCTTTTTGTTATTGGTGTTGGTGTTTTATATTATTTCTGCCATTAAAATTCTTTATTATGACCATAGTGATTCCATTTCTTATATTATTGTTGTTGTCAAACAAATCAAGGACAAATCGTTATACATTTATAAATTGTTCATTGTTAATCATTTTCATATTGCTCAGCATCTTCTTTAACAGTGTTAAAGTGAATAATTTTCAAATAACAAGATCTTCGTCCAAACATTTGAATTATTTATTATCAAATAATAAACATCGTTACAATGAAGAATATAAATCCTTTCGATCATCATCATCACCATTGCTTGCGGCACATATTGGACAGCCATTTTCATCAACATCATCAAGCATTGAACTGATAGACAAAAATAATCATCATAATTACAATAATCATCAACATAAACATAAAAACAATCATCACTATATGATTACCTCGAATATACATGTGAATCGACCTTATGAACTTGCCCAAACCAAATGTATAGCTCGTTGTAATTGTAAATGGCGTTCGGGTAAGATGTGGGTCGAATGTCCCGAAGCAAATCTACATCACGTACCGAAAGGAATTGATTCCGGTACACAAGTGCTATATTTATCGGGAAATCCGCTCAGTAAACTTGAGGCACGTGCATTTGAGCGAGTCGAACTTCGAAATATACAACGTCTTTATTTAGAGAATTGTCGATTGAATGATATACACATTGATGCATTTCAACAACTAACCAATCTAATCGAGCTTGACTTGGCTCACAATGAGCTTGTAAATCTGCCTACAAATTCATTGGTCCATTGTCCAATATTGAGGAAATTGAGTTTAGCTCACAATCATATACGAATCGTGCCCAATGCCGCCTTCAATAATCTAATACATTTACAATCAATCGATTTCAGCGCAAACGGAATTGAAATAATCGAAGAAAATGCATTCTATGGATTGAAGAATTTAAAACAGCTGTACCTCCATGAAAACAAATTGAGGTAAGTTCACTCTCATTTTCTTTTTCTCTACTTTCATTCCATTTCCTTTGCACACACACACCCACATAAAATTCAATATAAAAAAACAATATCTAACTGAAAGGAATCGAATAAGAAAGTAACATCCGTGATGCAATTTTCACTTTATTTGAATTTAAAATTACACACACACGCTAAATCCATTCCATGATGATGATCATGGATTTCATTTTGTTCTCGTAAGAATTGATATTGTATGAACAAAAAGAAAGCAAAAAATAATAATAAAAAACTCACACACGCATTCGAAACATATGACACTGACTAAAAGACGAAAAAAAAACAATCCTGGCTTGTCCAGAAGTTGGAATTTTTCATCTTATATTCTTCATTGTTTTTGCTTGCTTGCGTAAGAATTTTGCCGATTACCCAGCAAAAAAAAAGTGGCAAGGAAACGAAAAACTTTTAATGGAATTTTAACTACTTTGATTCTTTTTTTTGTGTGTGTGGGTGAAGTTTTTTTTCGTTATTACGCCAACTTGGTCCTCGGCGAGTGTGTGTGTGTAATATATAAAACTAATGTTACAATAAACATTGAGAGTAAAATTTCATTCTTTTTTTTTTTGATCGTTTTGAATTGCTTAATTGCCATCCGATCAATCAATGATAAAACAAACATTAAATGAAAACAAAAAATCCAGCATTCATCATTATCACTATATAATGGTGATGATGATGATCATATCTGAAAACAAACAAACATACAAAGAATTTAATGAAATCCAAAATAATTTTTCTTGAAATAGTGAACAAAAAAAAAAAAAAGTTGTTTGCGTGAGCAAAATGCATCACCATCATCATTATTATTGTCATCATAAGCAATTGGTGATAGTGGAAAAAAAACAATCATTATTCCGGTGACCGGATATAACAGAGACAAAAAAAAAACAAAATAAAAAAATCTTTGAATCTAAATGATTGCCAATTTGTCATTTCCGACGGCATATTTTCATTGTTTTTGTTTTGTTTCAAGTTATCCTATTCTATTCTATTCTGTTTATCTGTTTGCATGTTTGATTTTGTTTTTGTTTTTGTTTTTATCAACATGACAGCATAATGGTGATGATGATGATGATCATTGAATCGTTTTTTTTAATCGTTTGAAAGGATTTAAATCCATTCTATGGTGGATACGAATATTTGTTTGGATTTAGATGATAATAATAATTTTTTTTTTCGTCAAACAAACACCCTAGAAAAAAAATGGCTTTTATTTTTCTTTTTCTGTTTAGTTTAAATGTTGAATTTAAATTGTTCACAGTATGAATGGATGAATGGATTTTTTTTTTATTCTCTCATAAAATGTGTGGAATTTTTTTTTCTTTTGCTTCGTTTGGTTTCGTTGAAGTAGTCGAATAATTGATTGCCTAAAGGCATCCATCAATCAATCCATTTTTTTTCTCTCTCTCTCCCTTTCACTCTTTACTATGTTTCCACAACCACACACACACACATTTGTTTATGTGTGTGTGTGTGTGTGTTTATAGAAAAAATATTTGAAAATTCATTCACTGAAAAGCAAAAAAAAAATTGTCTAAAAATTTGGGTTCACTAAAAAATGAGTGAATTTTTTTTTATTTTGCTTTTTGGTATGTATGCGTGGATATAAAATGAATGAATGCAAGTGAAAAACGGAGAAAAAAAAAGAAAAATCGTTTCAGAACCAACTATGTAATACCGAATAACAATCAACAACAACAACGACAACTACGACGACGACGAAAATAGCGATACGGAAAAAAAAGAATCTGCAATCCTAATGATCATAGCTTTAGTCATTGCATTCATTTGTGTTTGTATACGCGTGCAACTAGCTCATAAGTCAAAAAAAAATGGGAATGAATGGAAAAAAAATGCACTTAAAGTGACTTGGAATATTCTTTATTCTATTCTATTTTTTATTTATATAAATATCCATTCAAACTATTGAATTTGTTAGCAAATTCATGATGATGATTATATGCGGTCGTATTCTGTTCATTAGTTGTCCATATTGTGTACATAAATGTGTGTGTGTGTGTGTGTATTGTAACTAATCTACCAATTTTCCATTTGAAAATTTCAAATTGAAATTTTTATAATTTGTCGATAAACGGTGGTTTTTGCAGTTTTTTAGTGTAAAATTTTGAAAATTTATTTAAATCGAATCGAATATTTATTTATAAATTTCATTTTTTTTTTGAAAAACATTTCCCATATCTCCAATATTTTGTTGTCGTTATTGTTGTTGGATATACACAATTTGTAGTTGTAATTTTTTTCTACTTTTGTATTCTCTCTCTCAATTTGATCTCAAATTCCAATTCGATTTCATTTTTGGCTACTTTTCTTTAAGCTACTATATAGCCAAAATGATTGCGATCAAACATACCGGTTGAATGATTTGCTTGTTTTATATTATGATACAACTAGACTAGAATCCAATTTCATAAATGGCAAAAGTTTCTTGAAGCGAAATTTAATCTTCATCTTCATTTGGTATCGACAATTTTTAGTCGTTGTTGTTATTATTGCTGCTGCTGTCATCATCGTTGTCATCATTTTGTCAGGAAATTATATTGGATCGATTATATATTATATTGATTATGAAATTTCACTTTTTTTCCCATTGATCTAATGATTTGTTGTGATGATTTTATCATCTCTGCCTATGGTCAAATGTTTATGAAGTTTGTTTGTGTGTGTGGATGTGTCTTGATTATTTGTTTTGATAAATTAAATTTCATTTCATATGAAATTTATTTATAGACACAATTTTTTTTGTATTTGTCTACTTTAGCTTATCTGAAAAAATTTTCTAATTTTGATTTTTCACATTTCTCACCATTGAATGAATGTGAAATTGCAAGTTTCATATCAGATGCACACAATTAATTAAATTTAATAACATTTTTTTTCCTAGATAATTATCGATTATTTGATTCAAGTTTTAATACTCGATTGTTTTGTTTAGTGAACAAAAAAATTTATCCAATACTAAGATGATTAGATGTTCTTATTTTCTCTAGAAAAAAGGATTCTGGATTTTTATTACTCGATCACAATTTCATTCGTTTTCTGGTGCATGATTTCCAAAAAAATCGTCGTTTATAAACAGACCGATCGACCAACCAGAAAGAAAAAATTTCCAAAACAACCCCACACACACACACATTCATTTATCGAACTTTTTTTTGTTCCAGACAACTTACGATGTTTTCGTTTTCATCACTTTCATCCACTTTCACTTTATAGCAACATAACTACCATACCATGTCACATCGACACACCTAGCCTTTTTTATAATTTTTTCTTTTAAATTTTTAAAAAATGCCTTGAGGTGACTTGTGTATTCCGGAAAGAAAAGCTTTTTTTATGAATCAAATAATAAATGAACGAAATAAAAAAAAAAATTCCGTCATCATACCCATGTTATATTTACTTTATTTTATCATTCATGTTTGAAAACATAGCACCGAAAAAAAGAAGAAGAAAATTTTTTCATTCCAAATAGTCCGGGCATCGGCGTTGATACGGTAAATTTAGCTAATTTGATGGCCGTTGCTGTTTAACTTGACGGTGGCTGCAATATCAAGAGTGACGAAACAAAGTACGAATGAAATAACGGTTTCCAACCATTTCATGCTATGATGATTCGGTTTTTAGATTTATTGTTTTTGTTTTCTTCTACCATTGTTTTTGGCCAAGAAACCGTTTCTAGTACACTTTTCAGATGCCTTTTTAATGTATGCTACAGTTTCTAGTTGATAGTGGTTTGCCAATCAATGTAAAAAGCTTTTTTTTGTATTTTGTCCCACCATTTCATGGAATGAAATTAAATAAAATTTAATTTTAGCCATTTTGTATTACATAGTGATTAGAGACTTGAAATGGCTAAGATAAAATCAAAAAAAAATGCGAAAGAATAAAAAAAGCAATGACAGGATTGAAGAGGATGACCGAATGATTTTCAAGATAATTGAATCGAAACATTTGTATTTATGTGCAATACATGTCAATGAATTTTTTTTCCCAATTTATATTCATTGATGACATATACTTATCGAAATTTTTCTTGTTATTGTATGAATGAAATGAAAGAATTATGATGCTACAATCATACAACATTCTATAATAGCAATATGATTGAATAGGAACAAAAAAATCTACAAGAAGCAATCCTGAAACAAATCAACACACGCAACATTCATTGAAAATTTATGACAATATACATTTACGATAATAAGAATACTAATACTTATAATAATAATAATAATATCCGTAACAACCGAAAAACTAAACCAAACCCTAAATTAAGTGGTTTAGATGTGATTCTTTGTGTGTGTGTGTGTTTTGGTATATTGATAATGTACACAACACACACACATCATTTAGAAATGGAGATGAGAATTGTCGATTCCGGCAATTGCTGTCATTGTTTGCTTGTTTGTTTTTTCTATTTTTATTTTTTTTCAACATTACAGATTTGATGACAATTTTTGTTTCGTTTGATCGTTATTCTTTAGATGACATCCTATGATGTCATCTGTCTTTATGAAATTATGATGAACGAAAAAAAAAATCTCGTACATACAGCGATAGGGTTAATCATAATTTTTTTTTTTTTTGGTCTGCCGCCATCATCATCATCGAGTGTCACCTAAAATATTGTGTATGATGATTTTTTTTTGTTTTTTTTTTCGGGCCTGATATTTCAAATGTCTCCCTGTTCGTGTGCGTGTATGTTCGTGTTTGTTTGGATTCTAAATTTTTTTTCTCTTCCAAAATCATTTCACAATGTTGATGATGATGATGATGATGATAATGTCGTTGGTATGCATTAATTAGATTTCTATTTTGTTCCATCCATATCTCTTCACTGGTCCCAAAAAATTTTTTTATTACCATTTCCAAAGAACAAGATATGAAAATTGAAGCAAAAACGAAATTCACAGAAAAAATAAATAAAAATTCTTCACACA